TTATGACTAGCAACCTTTTCACTAGGTGTGAGCTTGGTTTTATAGACCTATTTAGAGTTGATAACATGCTTTCCTGATGGTAATGAAACAAGAGACCAAGTTTGGTTAGCTTCAAGAGCTAAAATCTCACGCTTCATGGTATCTCGCCAATAAGCATGACAATTAGCTTGAAAAAAAATGTCTTAGGCTCATCGATAGAGCTAATGGCCAAGAGAAAAAGCCTTATAGGATTTAGAGAACTGAGTATAAGAGATATAATGTGAAAGAGATACCTAACCGAGTTGCATGATAAAGAGGGGTGAAGTGCATACAGTTGATGACAATGCAATAGAAGGGGGCAATTCAACTGCATAATCTTCAAGATGCTGAGGCATGGAATGAGAATGCTAACTGTAATGAGTAAATAGTTCAGGTGGCTTTGCAATGTTGGTTTCTTTAGACATAGTAAGACCGTGATCAAGTATGGCAATAGAAGGATCATGCACTCATGAAATGAAGGTGCTTGACCCTCAAAAGCTACAGGATTAGACACAAGAAGATGAGATGTAGGGCTCAAATCATCTTCAATCATACCGTGATTAGGAGATGAAGGCAAGGGAGCCATATGGGAAGTTATAGAGAATGATGATTATGCATATGGAAAGATGGATTAAGTTAACACAATATCTATAGAAACAAAACAAGTGCCAACCGTGGGGTCGTATAATTTGAAGCCCTTTTAGCTGTAAGGGTATCCAACAAAGATACATGCCTTTCCCCTTGCATCAAAGTTGTCACGTTGCCCAGTCAGACGTGCATATGCAAGGCAACCAAATACCTTAAAGCCCGTATAAGTGGGTAAACGACCATAAAGGATCTTGTAAGGTGTCTTATAGTGAAGTGCCTTAGTAGGAAACCTGTTAATGAGATACACGGCTTTAAGCACACATTCTCCCCATAGCTTCAATGAAAGGTTTGTTTGAAAATGCAAAGCCCAAGCAATATCGAGAAGAAGATGATGCTTGCTCTTAATGACACCATTTTGCTGAGGCATATAAGTGCACATGGTTTGTAATAGAACCCTAAGATCTAAATAGAGTTTCAATATGGGCCTAAATTGAAATTCTGACCTATTATTGGCCTTGATCTCCTTTATGACTTGCCTAAATTGAGTCTTTGTCATTAGAAACATTGAAAGATAATGGCCTATATCGAATTTGTGTTTCATTAAATAAACCCAGGTCCCCCTACTGTAATCATCCACAATAGTAAGAAAATAATGTGCTTTTATAAGTAAGGGTACTTTATAACCTCCCCATGTATCACAATGAATTAATTCAAAATAGGAATTTGTTTTTATTAAACTAATGCCAAAAAGAAAACAAGTTTGTTTGCCTCGAATACAAGAGTCACAAATTACATCTTTATTGTCAAGTGGGTGAGAACATAAAGAAAGAGGCTTTAAATTTTGTATGGAAGTATGTCCCAATTGATGGTACCATAAGTCATGCTTTGAGTTTCCTTTAACAGCCATTACCAAGCCCTTTTACTGTAAAGATGTCAAGAAGTAGAGTTTGTCCATGCATTCATCCAGTCCAATCAAGCTCCTCATATTCAAGTCTTGAATCACATAAAAATCAATGAAAAAAATCATAACACAATTAAAATCCTTAGGAAATTTGCTCACACAAAACAAATTGCATTTAAATTCTAGTATATATAACACGTCATCTAGTGTCAATTTTGGTGAAATTATGGTGCTCCCCATCCCTTAAAATGGTATGGATTGCCCGTATTTTCACTAGCAGCATCCTTAAGGCCTTTAGATTTATTATTCTAGCTTGTTCATAAGTTATGTAGACTAAATCCCCTATGTCCACTATCTATAGCCCATTATGCAAGTTCATACCTACCATATTGCCTATAGGTTAGATTGGACCTTTCTCACTCAGATTCAAATATTACAGGAGCTTTGAATACTACTCTTATGTCAGCCTTGGGATTAGGCTATCCTCCCCATTCACCTGTGCAGCCTACAGACCACCATGCTTGTCTCAACGGCCACCCTTCTTCCAATCCGGCAAATAGCCTACCATTTCATAGCACTTATCTTCGGTATGACCTATCTTATGATAGTGGTTGCATCTAGGTTTATCATATCATTCTCTATGACCTCCTTACTCGGCGTTCACTTGAAAAGCCATAATTTCCATCGTGGGCTTGATGGTTACCGAGATTTGCTTCTGTTGTTTATCTTTGGTGACTAAATGATACGTCATGCCAAGAGTAGGTACAGGTGTCATGCTCAAGATCCATGTCTTGATGGTTGAATGGGTGTCTTCTAGACCTATGAGAAAGTCATATAGATGCTCTTTCTCCTTTGTCTTCATTATTTTCTTTTGCACATTGCATTTGCAGCCACCACATGAGCATTTTGGTCATAGCAAAATTGAGTGAAGTTTATCCCAGAAGCCCTTCAACTTGGTGAAGTATGTCAGTACAAAATGTTTCTCTTGCCTTGTGTGAGCTATGGCTCTCCTTAACTCATATAAACGTGCGACGCTTCCTTTTCCAAAGCGCTCCTCAAGATTAGTCCATACTTGCATGTTGTTTTTGCATAGTGTACACTGCTTCTAATATCCTTGTCCATTGCACTTTTAAGCCAACCTTTAATCATAGCATAGCGACACATCTAATGGTTTAGATTTGGAGAGTCCGTAACGAGCATCGAAATTAATCCATCAATAAAACCAATTTTTTTTTTTGGCAAATAAGGCATTACTCATATCATTCACCCATTCCCCATAGTTGCTTTCATGAAGTACCTCTCTGATGAATACTTGCCCCAAATTATTTGAGGTGTGGATGTAATAAGGTGATTGAATGTCCACACCCACATAGCCCCAAATTATTTGAGGCGTGGATGTAATAAGGTGATTGAATGTCCATTGCCTGTGCTATTCTTCTCCTTCCTAATGTTAGTTTTCTCCATAGAAGCAGCTTAGGATCAGAAGACGTTATTCTAACCTCTGCTTTGATACCATGAAAGTTTTGAAAGGGAATAATAATATATTCATATAACAGTGGCAAATTTATACACACAGATGGATATCGATATCCCTATAATTAAGGGATCCTAATAAAGCTAATAGACAATATCCTAACCTCCTATAGCCTTTCTTATGATCTCGGCTAGTACTATATTTACAATGATACTAGTCTTGACTGCTTCTATCAGTGACGTATGCCAGCAACCTTACACTCTTATTTTAATGCACTTGTACCCATTTAGTTATTTATATGGATTGTTCTGCATCACCTTTAACAAGCGGCCATTTTCTCGTCATTTTGAAGTATCTTTCAACGTTAGAAGCACAAATTTTAGTGAACGAGTGAAATATGTTTGTAATGTTGAAGTTGCTTCTAAGGTCTAACATTGAACTTTTCGTTGACCATAACAAGTCCCGTGATCCATCTCTCATCAAAACTAGTTGACATGTTCTACTGGAATAGAATTGAATTGAATGTACTGATCAATTGATATGCAAATTTACAAGTAATTCCATGCTAGATTTTTCTTTTGAAAGAGTGTCTGTGAATTCATAGGATTAAGCATAACCATTACATCAAAAGTAATTTTTTTAATCATGACACAAATCTATTTTTTTAACCCTTCTCGAGAAGTTACACTAATCACCCATACATTGAATTGGATTTTTTTTTTTAACCGAAATGAACTGGGATGTTTAAGCTAATTGAATCACTTGCGAGATATTTGCCAAACTTCTTTCAACATGATCTTGTGAGAAGAATATAATATAAATGTAGACACTTCACTTTGTTTTTTTTTTTTTTTCCCTTTCTCTCCTTTTGATTAATTTATGTAGTGGACAATGACTTTCTTGGGTTGAGTTTGATGCAGGTAATTATCCCCACCATCTTTATATTGCTCCCATCATAGGCGAGTCATCCTTTTTTCCGACAAGAGCAAAGTACAATTAAAAAAGAATTGGTCGATCTATGATCGTATTTTAAAATTTTGATGGTACCACATCAGTGGATTCAGTAGCAGAAATTTTATGCAACGTTTTCGTGACCACATATTGTGATTGAAATAAGCTCTCCATTAACCTGTTAGTTTAGAATAATACTGTGATCTTAACAACAACATCCGGAAATTAATATAATACCCTTGGGAGGGGCATTGACTTGTGAGCCAGCTTCCTCCGGGAACAGAGATGCTGCTAATTCCCATAACAATTGATTTTTTTGTTTAAAAGACAGAAACTTCCAATACTGACAGATGTCAACTTGAAATTACAATTAAAGAAAACATTAATGAGGGAAGTCAGCAAAGTTGGGCATCGTGATTAGTCTCAAACACACTCTTGATATTTGACACGTGTAATGCCTTGCAGGTCCCCTTACCTCCCTCTTTTCAATATACTGTTTCGTTTGAAATTAAATTATGAAACATTTTAGAAGATACCACCACTCAAAGTATAAAATATTTTAATAAAAATAAAATTATATTAATAATATTTTTAATATTTTTTCATAAATAAAATATTAAATAAAAAATATTTTTAAAAGTTTATATTTTTATTTTAAAAAATAAATTTATAAATTATATTAATGAGTTTTATTTTTAAAATTGATTTTGTTTGAAAATATTTTATATTTTTAAAATAAAAAGAGTTGTATTTTTTTTTTGCATTAAATTAAAATTTCAAGTATAAAACTTTAGGACCTAATAATTGTCATTTTTTCTGTTAAGTTTCTCAATCACATTTAATGAACTCTAACACCCAAAACATGATGATGTATTGCTTCAAGCTTCAAAATCTAATAAAAAATAATTTTCTATAAAACTGAATTCCGTCATGCTTCTAAAATTCAGATTTTTAATTTTATAATTTTATAATTAAAACATAATTTAGGAAAAAGAAATAAAATGTAGTGGACTTTTTCCCGGTCTTTCCTGGGAGGAATGAACATAACATGTCTATTACGATTAGCTGAGGTTTTAATTATTTGCGGGCAAGCAAAGCTCATGTCTCGAGTTCTCGATCACGCATATGCTTTTTCTCCTCTGCATAGCTTTCAGACTGTGAGGTGGGAACGTGAAGGTGGTGACTGCGAATTAAGGGGCAGGAGAGGAAGCAAGGACCCGTCCTTACGGTTGACAAAATTTCGGGATTGAACTTCTTTTTGCTTCCTTCTTTTACCTTCTCCCATTCAGTAGGGCAAACTCCAGAATAGAGGCTGAGATGCGTTGCCTCAGACCCGGGGTGCTCTAGTGGTGTGTAAAAATGAAAGGGCGCCATCTTTTTAGGGTTTCCCTGTGATTCTTGCGACTTTACCTTTCCTGGCCTTCTTTCTCATGACTTCTTTTTCCTCCTCTCTCTCTCTGGTCTTATAAGGGTGGTGGTTAATTTGGTTTTATCATCTTAACTTCAATCTCCTATCTCTTGCCAGGCTCTTTCCTTCTCTCCCTACTGTTGATGGGGGTGGATAGAAGCAAAAAAAAAAAAAATCAAAAGTGCTTGAAAAGTTCTAGCCTTAGCTATTTATAGCTGTACCTTCCTCTATAGGAAGTTTGGATCCATTGTTGTTGACCAGATCTGACCAGCCCCATTTCACTTTCGCAGCTCTTAGCTAATCCAGACGTCGCATCGCCCGAAATTTCTTCCACTTTTGGTCTTCTCGGGTTTCTTAGGCATGGAAAATGGTCTTTTAAAATCCACCGTTCTCATTCCATGCGCATTTTCATTCAGAAAAGCAGACGATAACTTGGTTGAAATATGACAGCTTGTGCTGCGTCAGAAGGGTGGGAACATAACCTTATGCACTATCTCAATTGGAATTTTGATGGAGAAGATGCCATCCGCAGTTGCAGTGCCATTAAGAATAGGTAATTCAATCTGTGAAAGCTCGACCACAGCTACCCACGCGGACGTGTCCAGACTTAAGCTGATGACAGATGCGGAGTCGTTAGTTAATTCTATAAGTAAGGTTTCCACCGATACCGTTGCGGATTCTGATGAGGATCTTAATGGTGGCAATCGGGGAGATGAAATTAGTATCACAGCAGTCACACCACCTAAACAGGATACAGGAAGAGAGTCTCCTCTATCAGACATGATATCCCAAAATAAAACCACCCTGGTTGCTGGAGCCCAATTATTAACACCAGAAATTCAGGTGGAAGATGGTTTCTTATCATTGGCAGTCGATCAGATTCTTGACTGCCCTTGTTCAATTTCAGTGGCCAGTAAGAACAGTTGCTTATTGGGACAGGAGTTGGTCGGCTTTAATACGACACCCGGGGCTGCTGATTTGGGAGAAGACGTTGAGGCAGAGATTGTGAGTGAGCACCTTGCTATGGCAGTGAGCATTGATGAAGAGACTGGAATTGGATCTGGCCCTCAGCCTTCTGCAGTTGTTCTTGAGCTGCCTCCTGAAAAGAAGGTGAGCGGAGCCGTTGCTCGCAGTGTTTTTGAATTGGATTATGCTCCGCTATGGGGATATGTATCTATGTGTGGAAGAAGACCTGAGATGGAAGATGCAGTTGCAACTATACCTCGATTTTTGAAGATTCCTATTCAAATGCTGATTGGGGATCGGGTGCTTGATGGAATGAACAAGTGTTGGAGTCAGCAGACGATTCATTTTTGTGGAGTCTATGATGGTCATGGTGGCTCTCAGGCAATTTACTTTCCTTTTTTGTCCTTTCTTATGAAAAAAGTTGTAATTTTTGTTTGTCCATCAATTCACTTTAGTGTTTTCTGCATCGGGCTTTCTTTTATCGTTCAGGTAGCAAATTATTGTCGCGACCGCATTCATTTGGCTTTGGCTGAGGAAATAGAATTTGTGAAGGATGGTCTAATTAGTGGAAGTATCAAGCCCGATTGTCAAAATCAGTGGGAGAAAGCTTTCGCCAATTGCTTTCTAAAGGTTGACGCTGAAGTTGGAGGGAACACAAATTTTGGGGTTATTGCCCCAGAGACAGTTGGTTCCACTGCCGTTGTTGCTATCATTTGTTCATCTCATATCATAGTTGCAAATTGTGGAGATTCAAGAGCAGTTTTGTGTCGAGGCAAAGAACCCATGGCATTGTCGGTGGATCATAAAGTAAGTTACTTCTTGTTCGTCTTGCGTCTCCCCTTGAATTTTAACTGATTTGAAGTTGTTATCTGATTTTTACTTGTATTTGTTAGCCAAATCGGGATGATGAATACGCGAGAATTGAGGCAACTGGGGGCAAGGTGATCCAATGGAATGGTCACCGTGTATTTGGTGTTCTTGCCATGTCAAGGTCTATTGGTACGCTCTTCTTAGTTATAAATTTTTCGATTCATTTTGCGTTTACCTAACGCGCTAGTTTGAGTTTCTTGGAAGTCCTTTTGGCAAGTGGACAATAGGGTTCTATAACTTAAATTTTCTCACGGTACTAGTTTCATTTGTCATCGGATACAAATATAATCGGACTGCAACCACCAGTTGCATAATCTTTTAGAAAGGATTCTGATCTCTTAAATAAAAGATATTCTCATCAAATAAAGATTTATTGATTATTAATCATCTATTCACAATGTCCATATCCTCACTCTTTTTGTGGTGCTCTATTTTGAGTTAAGCCTGGGCTTCCACAGTTTAAAACGCTCATTCTTTAGTCCTGGGCAAAAGATATACAGCTTTTAATTGTCTGCCGTTGTTACTGTGTTTTTTATTTTTTATTAAATAAAAGCTCTGATATGTTGAAAACTTTGGTTCTGTTACTTGTCTTTAATATTGTTTTGGGGGCCTCAGGAAATTGGCATATTTATCTCATTCTTTTCCTCCCGGGAGTCTGTGCAGGACCAAAGCTCTGGGCAGAGCTGAATTCTTTACATCTAATTCGAAGTTTTTTTTTTTTGGGGGGAAATTCAACAGAATTTGACGTTCTTGTGAACATTTAATTGTAATTGTACTCCCGCTAAGGCAGCCAACTTGCTTGCACTTGCAATTGAATCTCCTGCTGCAATTACGTAGTTTTTTGTTCAGCTGACCAAATCCGACATATCGTTGATGCTAATTTCAGGTGATAGATACTTGAAGCCGTGGATTATCCCAGAGCCAGAGGTTACTTTTATTCCACGGGCAAAAGATGATGAATGCCTCATTCTGGCCAGTGATGGTCTTTGGGACGTCATGACCAATGAAGAGGCATGTGACCTAGCACAGAGACGAATACTTCTCTGGCACAAGAAAAATGGCGTTCCATTACCCCAAGAAAGGGGAGAGGGAATTGACCCTGCTGCACAAGCAGCTGCTGAATACCTTTCAAACCGTGCTCTTCAGAAAGGAAGCAAAGATAATACTACTGTGATCGTGGTGGATTTGAAAGCTCACAGAAAATTTAAAAGCAAGACATAATGGTATTAATGGCTTCTTCAAGCGTTCTAGGTTGCTGTGATTGTACAATAGAAAATTTACTATAATCTGCCCATCAATTTTTCATTTGGGCATCTAACACTCTGTACCATAATACATCCATCTTCCTCTAAAACTCTCGACTGGTTAGGAGTCTCCTTATACACTGAGATCTATGTGTTTGACATCTGTCATCAAATTGTACTCATTATTGTGCCGCGGAGTACACTGGCTGAGGTATTTCCTTCATTGTGTTTTAATACATAAACATCAGCTAATTCACATGGCGGTTTTAAGGCTGTGATCTACTGTTGCTTTTTTGTAGTAAGTGGGAGCTGAGTCCAGACTCCAGAAGATGATGTTGGTAATGAATTGATGTCGCTGGCAATGGTGATGCAGTGGTTGTCCTGCAGCAATTGGTGGGGGACAATGAAAACAAAGGTGCCTAAGGAGAACCTCAGCTCCCTTTTTCTTTTGCGCTAGTAATGGTATCATCTGTACAGATCGTGGTTTCCACTGAAGTATGTGATTGTAAACAGGAAACTGGCTTTGTGTAATCTGGATACTACTGTTACATTCTAGAAAATTATCAATTTGCCATGGAAGCAGATTATCTTACATGATAAGCCATAGATATATTGAAGTGTTGTTGCATTATCATGATAAACCAAATTTAACAAACTTGCTGAAACAGTTTTAAGTTAAACAGAACAAGGTTGATTCTTCTTTCCTCTCTTCGCTGGGCAATGGCCTCTGCGTGCTTAAGAATTGTTATGTGGTTCTACTTTTAAGCATACAATGTTTGTACGAAACGGTATGTTTTAAAACATTTTGTATCAAGAATTGTGTTGCTTTTATGTATGTATATTTGATTGTTAAATCTCAAAGCATCGTGAAACGGGGATGGGAATCATATTTGCTTTATTATATATGAAAGAAGTATTGAATGCTGAAGGCCACCTGAAACCTTGTAAATCCTTTTTTTTTTTATTTTTATTTTTATTTTTCGCCTGAGTGCTAATATGGATTGAAGCATGAAAAGCACTATAAAGATAGGCATCTCTGGTTATTTAGGTTCTGTTTGGTACAAAGGATTAAAAGAGTGATAGCAGGATTGAGATTAGGTAATATCAAGTTTTTTAGTCTGGTAGGTTGGAATGAAAAATTTGATGTCAAGTTCAATCCCATTTAGGGTGAATACCTAGAATCATCTCTCTCTTAGTATTGAAAAATCAATCCCAAGACAAAAAATCTTTGGACCAAATTGCTCCTTGCTCCATGCTCCTGTCTTGTCAAAGTTGTCTCCAACTTTGTTATCAACACTGTCTTCCACCCTTGATGGTGACGTTGTGCCGACGACGCCATCTTTCACCTATGGCAACCATATTCAGTTACCGTTCTCGTGTCTTAGATCATCAATTGCAAGGCCTCATGTCCCAAATTTAAAATCGCAAGGCTTGATTTCCCCCTTGTGTCTTGGATCTCAAATCATGTCTCAAATCTCATAGCTTTAGGATTGGCAAGCCCTTCTTCCTCGTGTCTCAGATCTCAAATCACACAGTTGAAGTAGTGGCCGGAGCTAGGGATAGTGTTAAAGTGAGCCTACCAAAGAAAGCACACATATCAAATCCGCATGGTTTAGCAGCTGCATGAATTTCTATTTTTTTTCCCCCTCCTTGAGCTTTCCCGTGACAAAGAAAGCATGATGAAGATGGGATGAGGGATGAGTTTGGGTTCAACATAATAGTGGGAGGAGATGAGGGTTCTGTGTCTTTTTTGCAATTTCTTTTTTGTTAATCCCAGTTTCATTTTTTTTAATCATATGACATACAAATATGATTTTAAAACTTATTCTCATTTTCAGTTCCAACCTCAATCTTAGTCCCAAGACTAAAATTTGGAACCTCTAATTAAGAAGGAACAACTCTTGCTAGTTGATCAAGCACTCGTGATTGTTAATCTTTGGGTATTGATTTGCTTTAATGAATGAAAATTTTGATAGCTTCAATGTTTGGATTTTTATTATGTACTCCTTCATCTCAAATTATAGGACACTTTTAAAGAATATTTAACATCTCAAAATATAAAATATTTTAATAAAAATAAGATTTTATTAATAATATTTTTTTAATATTATCCTTCTCATAAACTCTCTCTCTTTAATATCCTTTTATTAATAGAATATTAAATAAAGAATATTTTTAAAAGTTTACATTTTTATTTTAAAAAATTAAGATTGTAAAGTGTGTTTAATAAACTTTATTAATATGTAAATTGTTAAAAGTGCTTTATAATTTAAGACAGAGAGACTGAAAAAGTGCTTCTTCCTCCCATTGATGCAAGCCTCATCTAAAGTATCTATCTCAATCTTGATATTTAAAAATGCACCCGTTCTTATGGCAATTAAATAAGGGTAAGAATGAAAAAAAAAAAAAAAACTTTTTCACATCCCACACAAAATATGGTCCTCGCCTACCTTGTTTTCCAAAAATTGGGTCTTGATAAATCAAGGGATGGAAGACCGTATGAAACAAGTTGAGAGCTGAAAGCATCTCCGTCCCCAGGCCCACAGCTGTCTTCTTTGGTGAAGGAGAGCGAGACAAGCAAACAGCTTTGAAAATGCCTCAGTAGCATGAAAATCCCAATTTTTTTTTAATTATTGTTTTATTGTTTGGTTTTATCCAGCTTATCCCAAATCAGTTTGGGTTTTATCCAAACGTGCTCATACTCTCTAGTCCATTTCATATTTCATCCCCCAAGCCTTTTTCCAGCAGATGGCTCCAATGTCCCAATGCCAGCTGCTTTGGAATATTTCGTGCCCAGACGAAAGTCATAGTAATTTAAAACTCGGATTAGTTGAAAAAATAATATAAAAAAAGGGTACTGAAACATAAGGTTAAGCCTATTATTATCATTGCGGATGAGCGGATAGGCGCTCAAGTTGTATTATTAGGGCATATAGCAGAGATATTATAGTGTCACAAAAGCAGATTGCACCACAACTTGAGTCTAGAAAAACATGCGCCAAAACGAGAGGAAGCATAGGGTAGTCAGTATTTCCTGTATGCCAACTCCTTCACAGCCAGGGTCAGATGTTGCTCATTCGTAACACTCCGAACCCATGACGCATTGATATGAACCCGCTCCAGGCTCTGCTTCAACGTCCTAGCTATTGAAGGCTGCGAACGGGTGGCAAAGAATTCCTCTACTTCTTTTGCCTTCTCAAACGAAGCAAACTGCATGGATAGCACACAATTTTAGAGAGATCCATGGAGTGCTAACCAAGCTCAATAGTACGAAGTACAGAGGCATACCGGTGAGACAGCTGCACTAACAAAGCGAGTTATCAAAAATCCTGAGCCATACATCTTAAAGAGATGTTCCCAATTCTCCTGCAAGGCAGCAGAGCAACAGTTAGAAGTGATACAACATCATCACATCCACTATATACACGTCACGCTTTCTGTTCAAAATTAAGGTGATATTTCATGCATTGATGGCCTAAAGTTGCCACAAAAAAAGGAGCATTAAATCCAGACATTCACTGTCGGAGCAGAATTTTGATGTACAAAGTAAGATGGGTTCCCTAACTCAGAAATCTGGCCCTGCAACTAGAACTTTTAATAGCAATTACAATCTACATCAGATGAATTGACCCTAAGTCCCTAACTCAACATTGATCATCTTTGAACACGTCAGGAAAATAAAATTAAAATAGCTAATATTGCAGTTTATACAAGAATTCACTTCAGCAATGTATATTGCACTTAATATGACAACTGGTTGTGTTATTTACCTTGAACCATGTCCAAGTTACTTCTCGTCCTTCCAGACTAACAGCAAGTCCGAAAACAGCATCCTGACTTCGTACCTTGACCATAAAAAGAACCAACATGTAAAGCTGAAATCTATATATAATTTTATCACCAAAAAAAAAAAAAAAAATCTATATATAATTCTAGACAAACGCTAGTAAATGTGTGTTCTGACTTCAACACAAACAATATATGACAAACTTGATACCTCGGAAGACAACATAAAGTTAAGGGCTTCAAGAATTAGGTCTGGATCATGTGAAGATGCCAATGAGCCTACAAGAATCCAAAGTTAAGAGGTATCTTGGCCTTAAAAAATCCAAGTATAAAAGAATTCTGCTTGACTACAAGGTATGTCATTACTTAGAATGCGTGTTTTTTCCTGGCTTAGGTCAGATTCCCGATAAACATTGAGAAGAGATTCATAACCAAAACGGTTAGATTTGCTTGCCCTTTGCATCACCGCCACATAGGTTGCCTGCCAACATAGTTCACAATAATTATAAGCAGGAGCAATTTGGGGGAATTTTCAAGCATTGAACTAAGGCTGAAGATAACCTTTCTTGTATCAGGTGGAAGAAGTTGTGTACTTCTGTCTTCTAAGAATGCCTGAAAACGCCTGTTTGCTTCATCCAGTGTCGGATCATGTCCAAAAACAGCAAGGGCTGTCAAAACTTCTCCTCTCAACATTGCGTCTAGATGGCTTTCACCTGGTTTAGGGTCCCAGCCAAGCTTCCTGAAGAGATAAAGTAAAAGGATGATGTTTAAGGGGGGAAAATCTACACAAATAGACGTATATGTGAAAGGATCACTTTTAGGGTGTTCAGAATTTACATTCAGTTAGCAACACAATAATTAGCATAAGCAATATATTGTATAACATGGCTCGTAGCACATAACAACTCTGGTAAACTTGCTTATGTTCTCCCAATCATTATCTACATTACTGAAGCCATGGGAATGTTAACATGGGGCATTTGCTACAAAATTTAGAACAAATTGTAATTGTAATGATTCATATATCTAACAACTTACTCAGCAGAGAACTGGAGAAGGTTAATAAAGAATTGCTTAATGTAGTCTAGTAACTCTGGTACAGCATCGGCAGCAATCCTTTCAACTTTATAACTTACCTGAAAATGAGGCTTGAATTAGAATAAAAACAATGATAAGTAATGAAATAGCAACATTCAGAAATGACATTACAGTAATTAGGTTAGATAACACGATATAATCAAGTTCCTCCCTGTAGGCTCCCATCAAGGCAAGCAGGGAGGTCAATGTTTCCTTGCGAGCCATACAAAGTGCATATAAATCATCCAAAATGCCTGTCAAAGAAACAATTGAATTAATGGCCATTTCCTTTACCACTATCAAAAGTGTCAATCACTAATCAATTTACCAAATCGGTCTGTTGCAGATAATAATTGCTTTTCTACTGCATATCTGAGTCTAGCTGCAAGCCCTCATCATATTTCACCCTGTAAAAACCAGTCTGATCCACATTTAGTTTTATCCAAGAACGTGGTCCTATTTCTTGAGGAATCTGAGAGCCAAAAAGCTCATTGACATCACGTGTTTCAGTTTTTTCTTGCAGAAGGAAATTCTTGCAAACATCATATGATCCAAGGCACAATGTTGTTGGAACAATCCAATGGCCTTCTCCTTGGGCACCACTAGACAAGAATTGTGACTGCCAATTAACACAGAAAGCTTATAAGTTACAAAGCATGGAAGAAGGGATTTTCTTATGAAGACAGTCATAACAAGGAACTTGTGGAACAATAAAGATAGAATAGAACCTGCTCAAACTCCAATTTCTGATTATTGACTCTAACGGAGACAACAGGGTACCCCTTCTGCTTTGTCCAAGAGTCCATTAATTTGTTCACAGGTTCACCAGATCCTTCCTCAAGGGCAGCCCACAGATCCTCAGTCTTAGCATTTGAGCATGCGTATCTTTTTATATACGAAGCCAGTGACCTCTATTTGTATGACCAAGCAACATATAATTTGATCTCAGTATTACAATATGCACATATCACATTTTGTATGGTTTATTAATATATGATATTAAACACGTGCATCAAAGGATCTTCACATCATCAGCAGGCTACATTGTCCACATGTGCCTTTCATTGTTGAGTTCAATGAAAGTTACATAGTGTTAGGTCTCAACTCTAGTAGTATCTATCAAATATACAAATCTCAACTTAAAATAAAGAAGTTGTGGTTAGGGTGTATCTATCTGAAGTTTTAGACTCCTCTTTTCTCTGTCTACTTGCAATAAATAATAATGACATAAAAAGTGTATTGGCAAGTCAATGAACAAGCTGTCTTATATATCGCAAACTTGATATTGCAACCTATTCAGCCTACCCCACCCAATTTAAAGTTTAAAAACCCAAGTCAATCAAGTTGAGAGAAAACTCAACACAGCAGCTTAACTGTGTCCACGCCAACCATAAACTAATATCTTATACGATTGGATTACCACAGTTTCCTATTTCATAACTCTTTCAAATTTAGCATTCAACATGCATAATTTCCAATCACTGACCTGAAAGCATTCAGCGCCAAGATAGCTTTGTAGCATCCTGATTACAGATGCACCTTTCCTATAACTTATTGCATCAAATATTTCATCAATCTCATGGGCATGATTTATTTCTACCTGCAAAGAGAATTAATTTACTTAGGTTGAAATTACAATGAAAAAACAAAACAATCAATTAAACATTAATCAGGGGTTACCAAAAGGATAGGTTATCGTTGTTGTTCCAATATTGAACGCTAAATGTTTTATACCATATAAACTAACATTATGCACTTGTACATAGACACACACATATATTATACATTCTATTACTCTATACTATTAATTCATATATCCCACAAGGTCGGATAAAATTAAACAACAAATTACCTATAGAATGTGAAGCCCAAAAAAATAAAATGAAGCATTTAAAATACCTCAATTGGGTGGGATTCTGCAAGGCCATCTAATTTAAGACCCTCAGTCGTTTCATGAAGAAATTGAGACCATATTTTCCACTCAGGAAACAAGCTATCAGTTGCTAGATAGCTAACCTGAGTACACCAATCATCAAGAAGAAGAATAAGAATGAGACACTATGATAGCAATGATAAAAAAACATATGAGCTATAAATCTTACCCATGTTGCAAAACCTTCATTCAGCCATAAATGTGTCCACCACTCCATTGTAACAAGATTGCCAAACCATTGATGAGCCAATTCATGAGCTACAACAGTAGCAACCTTAACAGAAACCACAGAAAATTTTTTACAATTGACATCTAGCAATCAGAAATTAGTTTTACACCATGAATAAAGAAACTTTGAAAATAAGCAAACTACCCTCTGCTTATTGGCAGCAGCAGAATTCTGATCATCATAGAGTAAAGCAGTCTCTCGATATGTAACCAAACCATAATTCTCCATGGCTCCAGCCGCAAAATCAGGAATTGCAATCATATCCAATTTTGGCAGAGAGTAAGGGGTTTCAAAATAACTGTCATGTTATCATAATTAGTGGTGTATTGAATGACAAATGATGCAGCCTGGCCATCTAAACCTAGCAATGTAAACTGACTACCACAACATTTAACATGTAATCCAAGATATCCACCTAACTTGACTTCATAAACCTAAGATATGATTATTGACAGCAAAAATGGATTGAAAATATGACACTGAAAAAGTCTGATGCATTATAGGATCATACGGTTAATTTAAGAATGGATTACAAAATCCCCCTCTTTAAAACACGCACGCACTCACGCACACATTTATTCATGTTAATTAATCATTTTCTTTGCCTTACCTTTAGAATGCCAAACTTTCTTTGGAAACATAAAAATTAGACTGAACTGCAGTGTAAGATCAAATCATGAAAATAGATTAATTGAAGAATATGTGGAAGCCCGTCATGAGGGTGTTATTGTATCTTCTCCCCACCCACCCCCCACAGTCAATTTCATTGATGTACTTAGGCTATGGACACAAAAATTTTAAGATCAGGAATAAAATAGTCCCAAAAGTTTTGAGTGATATATTAAACTTGCAGGGAAATCAACTTTTCAGGGGTGGTTTTTATTAGATTTTCACCCAAAAAAAAAAGATTTTAACAGCTCAAACTTACTGTTTGAATAGTTCCAATGTCTTCACAGCAACATATAGTGCAAACTTCCCCTGATTTGCCTTACCAACTTGACAGTAAACTCGGACTTTCACCCCTGTAAGAATGTTAAATTGCAGTAAGAAGAAAATGACTAATACAACCTCAAGTCCCATAGGGCGCATGATATTACCATCAGAGGTATGGTCTTCCACAAAATCAAACAAACCAACAACAACTGCAACCAAATATGTAGACATGATTGGCGATTCTTGATATGAAACTGTTTTAGTATTGCCATTTATTTTTTCTTCAATGACTGGCATGTTGGAAAGGGCTGTGAGCTCTGAAGGCACGTCCAATGTGATCTTGAAAGTAGCCTGCAAGGTCAACCTCCTGTGAATAGTGTGCCCAAAATCAAACTATTCTTCATTTGTTAGCACAATAAAAAACCAAAAGTCCATCAAACCTGCCCCACCTAAAATGGCCTTAGCACCTAAGCAATGAACCAAAGGACGGCTTATTTACTTGAAACCCTACACTTTTGTTCCAAAATTCAAAATTCTACCCATCAAAATGCTTAGAAAAGGTGTGTTTACTCTAGAAGGTGGGACACAGACAGACCTTGCAAGCAGGTTCATCCCAGCAAGGAAAGCATTTTCTGGCATCAGCTGGTTCAAACTGAGTAACAGCCATATTCTTCTTCTCACCATTATGCTCATATTTGCTACAAAAGGATAAAAGAAAACCCAAACCATTTTCAATATATGCTGGATTATAAAAAAAAAAAATACTGGTTTACGACAGAAAAAGCATTTGTAAATTGACATCCATCAAGTTTCCAGGTTAAAAATTGAAAAAGTGTAATAACTATAAAAATCTTGTACCATATGTGCTATATGGTTTTGTTGTAAAAGACACGGACTTTGATCTTGGAAAGTTTTGAACTCGGCAAAATCAACAAAGTTGATTAAAAAAGAAAAAATCAGTAATCAAAGTGCAGCAGAGTTCAAGTTGTCAAATCATTTTATTTGAGCTTTTGGGTACCAGTACAAACTTCAAAAACAATAAAAAAATACCTAACAATGTTTACCTTCTGTAAAATCCTTTCATTCTATCATTCAAGGTTCCTTCAAATTGAATAGTCAAAACACCTAACCCAATCGGCAGGGTGTCTGGAAACTCTAATACCAGAATCTCGTCTTGTTCAAACAGCTCGACTCTTGAAGGCTTGAAAACCTGCATAGACATCCTCTCATTCTACATCAGCAACAACCAATAGAACTGCAAAGTTTTAAAAATCCTCTCACCCTCTCATAGCCTAAAAATATAGATGCAAGAACTGCAAAGTTATCAATCAACACCACATTAGCTCAAAAATCAGAGAAAATAAACCAACAAGCGAGTCTTACCATAGCAAAATCAATTACGTCCATTTGTCTACTACAAAATGCTCAAAGTGGGGGAAGGCGCGCTTAACCTTCTAACAAGTTGCAATTAGCGACATTTACCGTAGATGCAATATCCGTTCGTGCATCCAGATTCTCGTGAGAGAGCAACCGAATCAGAAACCATGGATCTAAACATTTTTTTTTTTTGTAAAATTTAGCTCTATTCATCTTATGGCAGTTCGAATGCGAGAGAGAAGTTTCAATAGGACAGAGTCTTTATCAAGAGCTCAACAACAATAACAAGAAAAAGCTTATCCCACCAAGCGGAGAATGAAGAGCTCGGGAAAAAATTAACAAGCTATAGAACAGAAAAGGTTGACCAACACTCGCCCATCGACCAATGCTAGTGTGAACTATGAGTCCAGAGGGGGGAAAAACAAACTTGTAAAACTTCCGGCACCATACTTGGCCCCTGAAAGTCTTGTACAATTTTTTTTTTAACAGTCTTGCACGAAGTACGCTCTAAAATATAGTATAACTGCCATCACAAGCAACCCCTCTCTTCCGATTTTGAAAAGGGAAAAAAAGGACTCGATACCTTAGAGGAATCTCGGTTTGTGAAGGATGCGGCATCGTCACTGACGGAGAGCTCAGCGGCATTGAGAACGATGTAACTGGTAGCGGCGACGATGTTGAGGTCAATGGCGACAGAGCCAGAGAAGCAGCAGGCGACGAGGTCAGGTTGGAGCCTTACGTCGTATCGTTTCGGAACAGCGAATTTGGGAAGACGAGGCTGACCCTTGAACTGATCCATTCTTTCTGCTGGTAGGTGACTGACAAAACAGCGAGGTATTCACTTGGGTTCCGGTGACAGCCCTGGGCAAACGAGTACCCAATTTATATGCAGTGTCTTAAGGTGGCTTTCCAGCCCCAAGTCTAGGATTGGGGAACTTTGTTTTTTAGATGAAATAGTAAATTTAATTATAGATTATTTTTTAAATAGCATCTAATAATTTAAACTATTATATATTTTAAAATAAATTATAAATTTTTAATCACAAACTATTTTTTTAAAATACTAGATAACTAATACTATGAAAAATTTCAAAATCCACTTTCAGTATTTTTCCAATCCGATCTCCAAGTTGGAGATGAAGTTTCTGTTGTAGCAGTGCATGGGTATATTTGAAATCCTAACTCATGGGTATATTTGACGGCATCGTCACCATATTTGAAAGCTTATATATCTGAACATGGATCTCCCCGTGATGCGATGAAGACAATAAGGAGATAAAAACAACAGCATATACTTAGATCGAACCTAAGAAAATTTTGTAGTTCAAAAATTCATCTTCCTTAAATTTGTTTAAAAGTTTTTTTTTTTTTTTTGGTTCTTTGAGAACTTTGTAGCTTCCTTCTCATGCTTTACACTCTTTCAAACATGTTGTCGAAGTTTCAAAGTCTAGCAAGCATCCACTATGTGAAAACTCATAATTCATCTACCTGTATTGTTAGTCATTTGCTTGGTCATTAAACACATCAGCTCCCATCCCATTAGTCAGTCGCCTTGGCATTTTTCAAGGCAGTTATTGAGCTCTATCGATCTTTGATTTAGTTTTATATTCTCTAGGGACAAATAATCGTAATAGAGAAAGGATTCGATTAAGAAAAACAAAATTACGAGGACTAAAGAAAAACTCCTTGAAAGTATAAGGATTGGAGAACTGATTTTTTTTTTCAAAAAGGAAAAATCAATTGATAAAAATATTCTGGCTTATAACTCTAGAAGTTGTGGGTGCTAAAATTGAAATAAAAATATGATTTGGAAATTAGAAAAAAAGGTTGAAATGAAAACCTAAGTTGGAATTTATAAAAATATGATTTTGAATGTCTTTAAATTAAGCATATTATTTTCATATTTATGTTCCAATTCAAGAAATATCAAAAGTCAAAGTTAAAAATATGTATGTAAGTTGTAAATATCTGAAACATGAATACAAAAGATTACTTAATTAAAAACGATCTTTATTCAGGCTTCTAGACAACCGCTTTAAAAAAAATTCCAGTTTAGTTTTTCCAATTTTAACTAGATGCCTCCTTGTTAATTAACTTTTTTAATGCGATATGCAAGTAAAGAATCAAGGCCTTTAATCAATATTTTAAAATCTCAAAGTCCTAAAATGTTAATGCTTTCTTTAGTGTCATTTCCCTGAATACGTTTCGGTGTTTGGCTGTGATTAATTTTCTAAGGGCTGAATTATTCCTTTCCATGAAGAAAATCTCAAGTATCGACTTTTTTTTTTCCTACAGCCATGATGAAATAGTAATGTTCCTGATAAGATGATGTAAGCAAAAAATTAGTATCCTTTTCATAATCATTATTTTAAAATCTCAAAGTCCTAAAGTGTTATTGCTTTCTTTATTTGGTCCCAGATTATTATTTCCTCTGAATAAGTTGAGGTGTCTGGCTGTGATTAATATTCTCAGTGCTGAATTATTTCTTTCCACGTAGGAAATCTCAAATGTCAACTTTTTTGTTTTGCAACTGTGATGAAATAGTAATATTCCTCATAAAATGATGTGAGGAAGATATTAGTATTTTTTTCAAAACCATCAAGAAAAATTATTAAAAAGACTTGACTATCATATTTATTGTTAAAAAGAACTTGAAATATTAGGTCTTTAATTGTCAATAATTTTATAGTGTAAATAACTTAAATGCTCTCAATGGTTTAAAAAAAAAAAGATTGAGTGAGATCTTTCACTATATACATGTCACATAAGGTTAGGTTTTTTGGTAATAATTTATTGAGTGCTAAAGGACAAGGTCCTTTAGTGCCAATGTGTTAAACAAGCTTCTTCAGTATTAATATGTCACATAAGATCCTTCAATGTCAAAATATTTGCAACTAATGTGTATCTATGCAAATTTCTTGTATATAACAAAAGGTCTTGCATACTCTCTTTGGTCTTATTTGTAATATCCTAAAAATTAGTCTAAGATTAATTAAGTCAATCAAAGACAAATAAGTAATTTTAGAAGAATATTTAGAGATAAATAATCTTAATTAGAGAATTATTATTGAATTTAATTTAAAATAAATTGTAAATCCTGAATTGTGATTTTTTTAGAAATAAAAATAACAACAACAACAACAATAACATTATTATTACATAAAAAAGAAGGAGAAGAAAAGGGGATGGTTATGTGTGTTTGATACACACACACAAAATTAAAGAAAGGGAGAAGGGACGCTGGTGTGTGTGTGCGCGCATTAAATAAAAAAAAGGTAGTCACTGAATTCACTTTAAAAAAGGGCCTTGGTGTATATATTATTATTATTATTATATATAAAGATACAAAGAAAAGATGTGGGACCCATACCCATTTTAAAACACACTCAATACCTTTTTCATTTGTCCTGATCCCTTCTTCATATTTTCGTGCATGCAACAGAGAAGTGCAAAAAAGAAAAAGAATAGAGCGAAAGTGCTACCGGCGATAAGAGCTAATTTAAGAGATAGAGCTATATGATAGAATATTTTATATGAGATTTAAAATATTTTAAGACTAGATAATTATTCTAAATACATTTTCTTATGAGTATGATCATATGGCGGGAGTTCACCTTAGTAAAGAAGCTAGCGGTTGTGCAAAATTTATATGATACTTGGCTATTAATCGATACTCCTAAGGGTTATAGTCACTACTTATCATGTAAGGTATTGTAGCATTGTTGCTATTAAGGGACTTAACCCTATTAGTCCACCTGAAGTTTTGGATAGAGCTAATCTTGAGTATGACACCCTATAGTGTGCAATTTGGGAAAAATTGTGTTCATAAGTGAGTAAGGTAATCTTGACCTGATAGCCCCTCACAATATGATTAAGGCCTTGGGTAGTCTCACCACATGGATGATCCCTTCTAATTGTTGGCCCATAAATTTCATGTCATAGGAAATAAGGGAGGATATAAGGAAGAGATTGATCATGCATATTATTATTATCATGTCATTTCAGTGATTGATGGCTATGTTGAAAATATGATTGTAATTGTGAAAATAAGAATATGTGATAAATATGTAAATAATCTATATGTGGCCATTTGTGCAAATTTTGTATGAATTTTCAGTATTTACGGGCAATCATGCCAATTTTGTACTTAATTTTGTTATTAAATTATTCACATGAGTTAGATATTAATGTGATTAACATATTCTTAATGTGATTGTTTACATGATCGCCTCGATGAATTTATTAGCCACTTGCATTTATGATTAATTATCATGTATTTGTATAACTTAGATGTACCTTAGTTATTAAGTGATTGTACTCACCCTTTTCTTTTAACATATTACAGGAGTTAGCTCATTTAAGGAGAACAGAGGAAAGGAGCATTAGGCCAAGTGATAGTTATAACTTCTGTAGGCTTTGCTCTTTTTATTTTGATATGCGTATTTAATTTATAATATTGTCAACTAGGATAATATATTATTGATCCATTTGCATTATGAGTTTCGTGTTGGGTGAAAATATATTTTAGGCCATTGAGAATGTGGTTTAATGCTTGTGTTTATATTAACGAGCTAAAATATCTGTACAAGTGAAAATAGTTATTATATGCATGATTTGAGAATTTAAATATTGTTATGGCCTCCCTTTGTGTTTTGTTGTTTAAGGGTGAGTGGTTGATATTAATCATATATAAATGAAAAGAAAAATTCATACATATGATGAACTATTGATAAATATATGATATATAGAGTATAATGACTAAGTAATTGTTATTATGATAAATGTAATTGAGACCTTAACCCCCTGTTGCTAGTTATGGAAGGGTTTGAGTGGCCAAGTGTTATATTATACATATATACATATATATATATATATATATATCGTGGAGTAGGGCATAGAGAGAAAATAAAAGGTGAAGTTTTTCTCTTATGTTGTGATGTGTTTCCTTTATCATGCTTCCGTATATGTTTGTGTGATGATTTAAGCGCTAATTTAAGACACCCTACTACACTATTTATAAGTCGCTTTCAGTATGTTTCATTAAAACAAAGAAAAATTTGTCTTAAAATTTAACATGTTTTAACCTTTACCCTTAATAAATATTCTTAAATCTGATTACTGATATTTTTATTCAAATTATTGAATAAGGGTAAAAATATTAAAAATAGCATTGAAAATTGATAAATGCCTTATAAATAGGACCGAATTTTTTCTTCTCTATCTGCTTTATAAATAGGATCAAAGGAGTATGCTTAAATATATTAGTATCAACTTTTCTTACAACTATGATGAAATAGTAATGCTCCTGATAAAATCATGCGAATAAGATATTAGTATCTTTTTCATAGTCATTAAGGAAAATTATTCAGAAATACTTTACTAGCATATTTATTGCTAAAAATGACTTGAGACATTAGGTCCTTAGCTATCAATAATTTTAGAGGGTATATAACTTAAATACCCTCAATGGTAAAAAGAAAAAGAAAAAAATTGGGCAAGGTCTTTCATTGTCAATATGTCACACAAGGTCCTTTAGTGATAATTTATTGAGCGCTAAAGAACAAGGTTTTTTGGTGCTAATGTGTTAAACAAGGTTCTTCAGTGATAATATGTCACATAAGATCCTTCAATGTCAAAATGTTGCAACTAATGTGTATTTATCAGAGTTTCTTGCATATATGAAAGGTCATGTATATGCTAAAAGGAACATTGCATATCATGGAAGAAATATGCATTTACAAAAGATTATTGCACATGACGAGGGAGCACTACATATAATGGGAGAGTGTTGTACTATGTTGAAAAAATATATATTTGCAAGTGCTACATGTGTGGGAGAATGTTGCATATAATGGAAGAAATGTTATATATTGCAAAAGAAATGTGTATATGTGAAAGAATATTGTATATGGCAGAAAAGAGTTGCATATTAAGAAAGTAGTTACATATAATAAAAGAAGCGTTACATATCATACTAGACAGTGTCACATATGTAAAAGAGTATTGCATATTATGGGAGAGTAGTTGTATAAAATAAAAGAAACATTACATATCGTGAAATAAATTTGTATTTGTAGTACAATGCTATATATGAAAGGAAAAATATTGCATATCATGAAAGCTCATTGCATGTGAACAAAAAGGTATTGTATGGCTTTTGTTTCTTCAATTTTCATGAAAATACAAATAGATATTCTTGAAAAACATAGACAAAAATGAATCATAGCCTTTGTTTTTTTTTTAATTTTCATGAAAACACAAATAGATATCCTGAAAAAAATTTTAATTTTGATAAAAATACAAATAGATATTTTAAAATTTTTTCATTTTTTATAAAAACACTAATAAATATTCTGAAATCACAATGTCTATTCTACTAAGTGAAATGAAAGTATAATGTAAAATTTAATTTTAGAGAATAGCAATGAATTTGAGTTAGAAAGCATTGTTAGTATGATTTTATTAATATTCTTTTATTCATTGATATTCAATTACATGAGTGACACTACCATTGAATAGCATCAAAATAAAACTAATTTTTAATATTTGCAATATAGAGGAATTTGGTCATTTTTCAAGGAACCAAGAACTTAACCAATTAAATTAAGATTTTAATAAATAAAATAACCGTTAAATTAAAACATTAAAAAAGGGAGAATTTTGAACAAGTTAAAGGTCACAAGAAAAAAGATAAATTAAGAAACTTAAATAAGAACTTAACTAATATTTCTTAAAGATTGCAATTGGCTACAAGCTAATTCCTTAGAGTGTAAGCTTCAACATTCTCATCATTTTACAGATATAATTTGAAATTTTAGCAAGAAGATTTCCACAAAAATTCTTCGAATCACCATCCAAAGCTCAAGCAATTGCTTGTGAAATCTCTACTCAACAATGCACCCATGACTTGCAAATGAAATTTGGAAATCAATGTAAAATAGAGCACTTCAATCATTTTACTCTCTCTAACATCTCCTAAATCCCTAATCAAGCAATTAGACATCTATAGTAATTCAATTCACCAAGTAACACGTGAAAATCATAAGCCAAATTTGGCCAAGCAAAAAACACAGCAACTTAGCAAAAAAAAGAGAAGAAGAAGAGGGAGAGGGTGAAATCTCAAACAGTATGCCATTAAAGCTCAAGATCTCCATTTATAGCTCTAGGTTCACACACTTGTCACCAAGTACAAGAGGAAATCAAGGTCTCGTGGTTGAAATGAAGAAGAAAAGATGAAACAAAAGAGAAAGGGAAGAAGAAGCCATATGCGTGCCTCTGTTTCTTCTCCAAAATCCTTCTGCCTCCCCTTCATTTTATTTATTTCCCTCTTAGGTTGTGTTTGGTTCAAGGGAGTGGGGAGGGGAGGGTTATAATGTTACGTTGTTTAGTTTTGTTGGAGGGAAGGGGATGTATTAACTAATTTACCATTATATCTTTATATTTGAGTTTTATATTTTTTAATTATGTTAAATCTATGCAGTTTTTTTAACTTTAAAATTGAATTATTTTATTTGTTAATTCTCCAATTAATTTTAATGTTTTAATATTTTTTTCATTCTACTCATGCATGTTAGTCTATCCCCTTCATTGTCAAGCGCATAAAAGTGGGAGCTTTGGATGATCTCTAGCTCTACACTTTGACCATATGTGTGGGAAGTAAATTGCAGTGGCTCTATTAGGAAAGCGAGGTCTACAGGCCATGATGATGTCAACAGTGAGATTGCTAGCTTAGGTGAGTCGACTTGTAAGAAGAAGCATGTTGTTAGCTTGGGTAACTTAGTCTGGAAGAAAAAGGCTCTCACAAATGCAAGAATGATTTTTTTTTATTTGGACACTCTTGGAATATCAATAATAAATTAAGGGTAGGTTAATCATAAACTTTGGCTCTCCTAAAAAAAAACTCTAATTTAAAGAGAGCAAAAATGAAAGGAAGGGAGGGAAAATTTTGCCTCCTCTTCCCTCCAAAATTTCTAAACCAAATGAGGGGAGGAGAGCCATTTCCCTCCCTTCCCCAACCTTCCAACTACGCACACCCTAATTCAAAAGATGCTACAGACATGTGCTTGCCACAACATAAACCTATTTTTAAAACGTAAAAGACAAAACTACCTTTAATGGCCCAACTTGCAATTTACACAATTTTACTCAAGAGAAAAATACAATTTGAGATAATAAATTTGAATTCACTTCAAACCCAACAAATCTCCATTAATGATCTTCAATTTAACCCCAAAGATAGCCATATGTGTGAAAAATATTAAATTGAGAATTCAATTATAATTTTAAGATTTAATCCATAAATTCTCATAAAATACAAAGTGACCAATAAAATAAAATATATTATAATTAATCTCAATTAGTCTATCACAATTCATTAATATAAAAAATATAGTGAAGAGGATAAAAGTATATATAAAATATGACTTTTCAACAAGTTCAAGTTCAAATAAAAAAACTATCATAACAAACCTAACTCAAGCAATGAAAAACACTCGGTAAAATCTTCTTAAAAAAGAAACATGTTTAGGATGAGGGCTTTTATGTTTAGCAACTGCATGAAGGTCCCTAATCTTGAGTTGCTTGTTTTTTGTCTTTGTTTTTCTAGGTTTCTTTTGTTTGTGTTAGACTCAATTTACCTTTTGCTTGTTCTAGTCGATGACAATCCTTTCTTTTCACAGCTATTACATGCATTGCTACGGTATTTCAAATCCTACAAGAGAGTTTTCATAGAGTTGATTGAGTTTCAACTCACTCTCTTTTTCATGGAGCTTCAAAATGACGTTAGGATCTAGCTTTGGAGCTAGTTCATGCAGTCTTTTGTGTTAGGCAAATGTTCACATCATCTCGTAGTTCCTGTTGAAAATATCTTAGGTTTTTTATTATCTTACTGTTCTTAGGTTGTTTTTGTTTTTCTTTGTCATCTTTTCTTACATTCTCTTGTAAGTTTTTTTGTTTTGTTTTTGTTATGCCTTTTGTTTCCTTGAGTCTGTGTTGGGCTTGTAGTTTTGCTTAACTACTAGCCAAACTACAAGCCCTTTTGCTTTAATCATTTTCCTTTTATTTGTTTTAATAGAATGTCTTTTCTTGAAAATAAAAAAAACACTAAAAAAACATTTGGTGAAACAAACAATAATCTTCCCGCTCCTTGTATTTTGATTGGTTTTGGCTAACTCAAAATCATATTGCATTAACACTTATTCAAATCATCTAAACTAAAAAAAAAAACAATTTTCTCTTTCTTATAGCCATTCTACTCTCTTTCTCCCCTTCCTCATAACTTCTTCCTCTAACTTTTATTGATACGATATATAATTTGTCAAAAGAGAGGCATTGCTTGTGCCCCTTCTTCCATATTTAATGCTTGGCCCTCTATTGTTAATGACAGCGAAGCCAATACCTTAAAGTTTTGGGAGTATTCAGTCTACTTTTTTCACCATTACCTTGACTCCATCCTACTACTAGTCTTTTATTTGATCTTTTCTCTCTATTCCAAGAAGAATGATCACTTTGCTCTCTAATATTCTTGTCACATTTATAATTGTAACTACAATGAATATGCATACAAGTAAGAATAATTAGTCAACATAACTCTTTCCTTTTCTTAACATATGATATACGTGGCAACAACATGTCCACTATAATTATCTTACCAAGCCATCTCATGACTCAAAAATTGCAATATGACTACAAGTCTACAACTACAAATTAAAGAATATACTTACTAGAATGAAAGCCAATCTTTTGGAATTACTACATCTTCACTAATTTCATTGTTGTTTGACACAAGCCCAAACCTGACACAATATTACAACTAATTCAAGCCTATCTTATTCAGTTTTAGTTTATACTCTCTGCATCTTTTGTTTTCCTCCGTTCTTTTGTTTCCTAAGGTCATGTAAACTTGACAATAGATGCCTATAAAGAACATATAAAACAAAAATATTTTACAAAATGCGAGGATTTATGCAACAACTATCAAGCAAAAAGATTAAGATGATGTCTTCATTAAATTGGTGAAATCATTTTGGCCTCCCTTTTTGTTCTAATTTCTAGCTGTTCATGGCAGATGTGGGATGCCTTATGATGCCTTTTGACACTTGACATTCTTCTCCTTTTAACAAATAAATTATAAAATAGATAATGAGGATGTGGTTGGGTGAAAATTTCAAGCAAACCTGCTAAAATATGTAATAACCTTTTTGATCATGAGCATAGATGAAGAATTCCTGTTTTAGTCCACTTGGCCAAAACTTAAATGGAATCTTCAGAAAGATTTTGGTCTACACTATGAAATCCAAATTCTTTATGGCTTCTAATTTCCATCTTTGCTTCATTATATTGCTCCTTTCAGTTACAACAATGAGTGGGGGCGGGGTGATGCTTAAAAGAGAAGACACAAGGCTAAATTAAACAATCCAATTTCGCAGGATTTAGGGGCAGAAAAATCATTAGAGTTTGAACTTTCTAGACTCATTCTTCCATCGTCTTCAAAGCTAATACCTTACCATATTTTTCTTTGTCATTGTCACTATCAAAATCACAACCACCTATCACCATCATCGGAATCATAGAGTTGTGGTAGATCGATGCCAAGAATCTCACAGGAGGAGAGGAGGGAGTGGGAGAGGATTTAGTGTAGGTAACTTGATCATTTAACACTTACACATAATAACACCAAAAAATCTTGGCTCTTCCCCAAATTTAAGGGCTTTTTTAGTATTAAATATGTTGAGGAAGCTTTTCTGAGCAATTCTCCCTTATCTAGAACTCATTCACAATTTTATTCTCTTAACCTTTTTATTACAATTCTCTTAAAATTTTAAATTACCACAAAACACATATACTAATATTTTTTTGGGCTTTAAATGACAAATAAAATCAATTCTTGAGCACCAAAAGAAGGTAGGGAGGGGGAATCCGCAAGCTAGCGCAGACGCTTTTACATGTTCGGTGGCTTCCACTCCAATCTGAGAGGCGCGTGCTTCAACGCCGACAATAGGTTTTGATTTCTCGTTGATTCGGACGATCGGTTATTAGACGGGCAAACCCGTGATTGTTCTTTTACTTGTTATCTCTATGAGACAGAAGAGAGGCTCTTCGTCTTCAACCTCTCCATGTGCCCCACTTCGAGATGCATACCACAATTGCTTCAACAGGTATCATTTCTACGTAATCTTGATTACGTTTCATGATCTCAAAAAAAAAAAAAAAAATCTTCGATGTTTCTCTTCATGCCCCTATTTGGCTCTGTTCTTCGTCTCCCTTTAATGTTAGATTTTTCTAAGGAAGGTGGTACGCCGAGAAATTCATGAAGGGTCAGTGGGATAAAGAAGAATGTCTTTCCGAGTGGGAAAAGTACAGAGCTTGCCTTTCTGTAGGATCCATTACTTCGCTTAAAAGTTTAAGCTTTTCATTATTTCGTCTATCTAAGCATTATTTCTTTGTTTTTTTACAGCAAAATTTGGAAGATAAACATCTGAGTCGCTTCTTAGAAGCTGAGGGCGTTGTCAGTTCTAAGTTTATGACGATTCAGGGAAAGATGCTGCTTCTGGTGCATCACAATAACATATCTTTTGACTTAAATAGAAATTATCCGGACGAAGGTAACTTGCAGGATCATTATACTCGTTTCCCCCCCTCCAATTTTGTCGACGTTTAATGATGCCCATCCGGAAGCCATGCATTTATTAGAAAGTGCAAACAAGGAAGGATCGTCACTCTGTTAAATGTTTATTTATTTATGCTTCAATCTTACTTAATGAAGAGTCTATAAGATATTAGGGCTAGGCTTTTGAAGTATCATGGCTTGTTGGCAGCGCTGACATCCTTTATAAAAAATTCAGAAATTTTGCCCGAGTTTATTGGTTGCTGCTGAAACCTTGTTTTTGACACTAAATTGTGTCAAATTATAGCCATTCAAGCTGAACTCTTCATATATAAATTGGAGAAATCCTTGCTGTAATAAAAATAGGTTTACGAATAGAGCCTATTAAAAGAAGAAGAAGAAAGAAGAAAAGCATCAACTCTTCAGAAGGAATGTTGAGAAGCTGCTGACTTAGTTTCTCTTGTTTGTATCCTCTGTTTTGAGGAATGAATCATCTCTTTAACCCAAAAAAAAAAATAGAAGGAAGTGAAGTGTCAAGTTTAGCTGCGGTATGATTTTAGGTTCTGTAAAACCAGGCTTCTTGTCGTTGTTTCGTTCCTGCAAGGTATGTGACAGAGTTGGATGTCAATGTTACGGTGTTAAGCTCTAGGCAGGTATGACTATGCTGCAGCCTGCAGATGGCACCTACATTTCTCCTACATGATTTACTGGCCGTAGTCAAGCCCCACCCCAACCCAAAACAAAAGAAAGAAGGAAAGAAAATGGTTGGCATTCTTAATTGTTTGCAACATGACCTCAAGTTCAGCCCCATGAACATTCTGTGTCTTGAATACCAGAAAAGTAATCACTAAATCCCCCCCCTTTATATATGGTCATGGCATGGTTTTAATTGTCTTAATCTCCCTGGAGTATGACCAGTTTATACATGTAAAACCTGACTCAAGCATCTAAAGATAGTCAAGATGTTCCTTTTATCTAGTCATACAAATTTAAACAAACTGGAACCCTTTGTTTTTGTTGTTGGCAACATGTTCCATGTTGTATTTCTTGGAATTTTGTCTTCAAAATGCTGTGTGGATTCAAGGCTGAAAGGTGCTATTAAGGCATTGGACCTCTAGTTTGCATTAAGCGATTGGCACCTCACCTCACCTGAGGCGTTAGCCTTTGACTACACTAAATGGATTATTATTCAACCGAGGGAGGAAAACCATGCGTTCCTAATCAGCATTTTAATAAGCGTCTAAACAAAGCGGTAGATTTCAGAGGTAGGTCCTAATTTTGAATTTGTGATTTTCATGCAGGTAAGCCGATGATTGGAGGTGGGACAAGTGTTAATGATGTATTTTAGAGTCCTGCTACCTTTGTATTAGGTATTTGTTTTGAATGCTGTAGTTCCAGGAGATTTGGTCTTTGATGAATTTAATCCATGGTCTACTGAAGAGGAAAAGGAAATGATGGTGGATTCACGAGGAAGTTGTATGAAAGTTTCGATTGTGGTTAGGCGAAAAAAGGAAAAAAGCAAAAGTCTGTTTCGGAGATTTTAAAATCATACTAGTCGTTCCTACTTTCTGAGCTTTATTTTTCAGATGAATACAGGAATATTATGCCACACGACTTCATTGGGCACTAGTGGAACTAATATCATAAATCGCACGTGCTCCTATATTTTTTTGGTTATCATAGTCATGAGATTGCACAAAAATGGGGGCCAAAAGAACTTGTGTCTGAATCCATGAAATTACAGTCATTAGAATATGCATCTTTGATTCTTCGGCATTTTTATGCTCTGATAAACGGAAGGAAAATTTGATTTGTGCTTAAATTCATTTCTTCTTGAATAGGAAATGTGCAACCATCCATTCTTCACCGTTATTGTAGCCAAATAGTTCTGCGACGGCTATGAAGAACGTTCTCCAATAGACAGTCCACTTTACAGCCGAATCCTTGCCATATGTTGATTCCATGATCGGCTTGATGGAAGTCAAGTTTTGGTCCATTCTTTTGAGCCACTCTTCGCTGCAAGATAAATTTGTTTTTGCTTCAGGAGTACCGTAAACTAAAAACTAACATTTAATCAAAAAGAATGTAGTACGATTTGGAATTGCTGTAAATTTTTTGAGCTATACAGTTCATTATTACCTCGTCTTTGCATAGTGTTTACCATTGACAAGCCAATGGTTGACAATAGTAACATCATCCTGCGGACATCAACGAAAAACCTACTCATAGGTGGGTTAAACCCAGGGATCAGGATTAATAATTTGGCAGGCGTTATTGTTAATTTCCAAAAAAAGAAAAAAAAACCTAATGAGAAAGTGAAATTTGACTTCAAAATTAAAAAATAAAATAAAATAAAACACTACAATTCGGTGGTCAGCGAATCCGCTAGCTCCAGTTGCACTTGCATATGCCAAGCTTACCTGGAAATAAAGCAGTAGATTTGCAGAAGGCATTGTTCCGCCAGTAAAGAAATGCTTAGTAATCCAGTCATCTTCATTTTTGTCCTGTTTATTAATTAAGGAGTCTAAAGGTCAACGAATTATCTTATAGGAACTTTACAAGTCTTATCTATATCTCAAGCAATGTCCATACAGGCAGAGACCAAGAGAGGCCAAGTTGTTTAACATGAAATAAACTTTCTAAAAAAAAAAAAAGAAAAATCATGAAATAAACTTCACCTCAAAATGGTAAGCAAATGCTTTATGGCAGAAATGATGAACAAATAGAAGGCCATCTTCCTTCAACCAACCGGCTATTTTCTTGAGTAGATCTTTATAATTCTTCATATGCTGTGTCAAGGAGGTATGAATCAAGTTTATCAATATATATATATATATTATAAAAACGCGCCTTCATAACTATCTGCATGACATAAAGCACGAAGTCCAACCTCAAACATTTCTATCGAAAATATCCTGTCATAAGAAGCATCCATTTCAAATGTGCTGATATCTGCAACAATGATCTCCACATTTTGCAGCATAAGATCCCTGAAAAGAGCACAGGGAAACAAATTTGAGTCATCAGATGTTGTTTAATTTGCAAAAGATTGGTACCGATCACGCAGCATACCTACACCTCTCCTCTATATACGCTTTCTGGGTTGCGGAATTGCATATCCCTGTAACTCTGGAATTACTGTACTTCTTGGCAATGTATATACACAGCGAACCCCAGCCACATCCAACATCAAGGATGGTATGGCCATCTTTCATGCGTGACCTCTCACAGTATAGTTCCAACATTGCTTCTTCAGCATCGTCCAGTGTCTTTGACGCAGAAGAGAAGTAACAAGAACTGCAAGAGCTCATTCATTTAGGCACGTTTTCAACCTTGACCCTCTGTTTTGGGCACATAGCACAGACTTGCATGTTGATAATTTGTGTAATGATGATGACTTACATCTCGTATACATTTATATTTCTAGAGTTTTGTCTGCACACACATACTTGAATAAATACAGTAAATTTCTTGATTAGGGATAATCAAGTACTCCCTCCATTTTTATTTGTAAGAGAACCTGTCAGTTTATTTTTTTTATATAAGTAAAATCATATTTTTTAATGAACATTTTACAAATTTCTTAAATTATCTCTCACAATTTCATCATTCATATTTATAAAAAAAAAATTGATGAAGGATATTTTATTCTAATTTTTCTATGTTTAGACCTAATAAATATAGTTAACAGTAATACAGTCCCCCCCCCCCCTTGCAAATAGAAGAAAGGGGGGAGGGGAGTAAGCTATATGACAAGGTTTGCCTGTCGTTCATGTCATCGTTCCTTAATGAGGATTCGACTGAAAAAGACATTTCATAATCTAATAAACCTAAAGCGGGGAAAAGATACGAGGTTAGAATGAATTACTAAGTTTTCAAAGAGAAAAAGAAAAAGAAATGCATTAAAATACCTGTATTTGAGATTCTTGCCGAGAACCAGCTTGAAGAAAGAGGTCGGTAATTCGTAATGCTGAACTTTCGGCTTATCAGTGTCGATGGCGATAGGCATCTGCTTCAAAGCTGCAAGAAAAACACAGTTAGGTTCATCTTCAAACAATGTATGGTAGCAGGAAGCCAAGTTCTGGAACAATGTATGTTAGCACTCCATTTGCAGAGATATAGACTCATTTCCACTAGTTCTTAATTTTCTCGACATAGCAACATCTCCATCTGTAGTACTTAATAGATCTCACAGCACTCGTAATGTGAAATTTCTAGGTGCTATTACAATTGCTGCTTCTTAGTCTCAAGGATCACAAGCCGCAACCCATATCTTTGCTTATATAAAGAAGTAGATATTGCGCAGAAAAAGGCACAAGTGAATCGCCGACAAGAGAAAACGAAAAACAAAGAAGATAAAAGAGAGAAAGAAGTGAAAACTGGAATTACAGTGTACAAAATGAAGGAGATCGAAGAGTTGAAGTTGAGAGGAGGTCTTATAGCCGGAGCGAAGGCGAGATGCTAAGAGCAAACGAGTGAGCCTCCTGACGACAACATCAGGGAGCAAATTCCGCTCCAAAGAGCGTAACATAATCTTCACCGTAGCGTCGTAAGATAGCTGCATCATTGCTTCCATGGGAGCACAGTGGATTCCCCCTCCCCTCTCAGGACTCTTCGAGAAGATGACGATTCTTATCTGTATTGAATTAATGTGCTTCTTCGGTAACCTTCTCATACAGACTTATAATTGTCACTCTGGCAGAAAGCATCTTGATAACCAGTTATTTTTAAGCATAAGATCTCTGGATAAAATTATCTTGTGTGTTTTTTAATTTAAAAAAATAATAAAATTATTATTATTAAATAATGATATCTCAATCCTTATTTTTGATGGAAGATTTTTTTTTTTGGCTCCATCTGTCTCTAGTAAATTTCAATCATTGATTTAATTTCATAATAAAAGAAGGCGATCCAAAAATAAATAAGTAAATTCTAAAAATGTCATCGCCATTTAATATGCAATAAATCCAAAGGCCAGAAACTTACGATTGATGACAAATAGATATGCCCCCTTGGTCATAAAAAAATTGGACCAGCTTCTCTCCATTTTTTTTTTCTTTACTTTCTCTCCACTTTTCATCTTAATTATTGAATTTATTTTTAAACGGTTGAAATTTGATATTTCATAAAATTATTATTATATTTATTTTTTATAAAATTTTATATTTTAATAATAATTTTATAAAATATTAAATTTCAACTGTTTAAAAAAAAATTTAATAATTGAGATAAAAAATGAAGAAAAAGTGGGGAGAGAAGGTAGTGGAGAAAAGTCAAGTCCGTGAAGAAATGCCCAACGGGGTACCGCCTTGCAAGTTGCAACTCGCCATTGTTGCTTTAATTCTTCATCTGACCGTAACTCCAGAAGAACTGGAGACGTAAGTAAGGCCTTTGACATGACTTACCTAAATTAAAATTAGCCCACGTGACTTACCTAAATTACTAAACATTAGTACTTTACACCCCTGCAACGTTTTGTTTTTGTTTTTGTTTTTTAATTTTTATATTGAATAAGTACAAAATAAATAAATGTACTAAAAGTGAACTTATCTTTATGTTTATTGCTTCTCTCTCCCTCTGTCTCTCGGGTTCACATATTGCTTCTCTCTTTTACTACATGATATCATACTAAACGTCATTTAAGTAGACAATTTTTATGGTTAACTTGTCTAGTTAGATGTGTAGTACACTAACCAAATAGCCGGTACTCGTTTTGGCTGAACCTAACTTTTTTTAGACCTGGCTTTTCTCCACTACCTTTACTCTCCATTTTTTCTTCACTTTTCATCTTAACCGTTGAATTTTTTTTGAACGGTTGAGATTTGATATTTTATAAAATTATTATTAAAATATAAAATTTTATAAAAAATGAATATAATAATCATTTTATGAAATATCAAATCTCAACCGTTCAAAAATAAATTTAACAATTGAGATGAGAAGTGAAAAGAAAATAACGAGGAAAAGAAGTGGAGAGAAGCTGGCTCCTTCCTTCACATGGTAATGTCACACAGTAAAGGAACAGAGCTGACATCTGAAAATGACCGCATTCAAAAACCTGATATCGTGCTTCCTGATTGAATCAGAAGCTCATGCTTGGCATGCTCTTCTAGATTTTAGTAAATTTTGCCTGCTTCTCCCTAAAGATAGTTATATTGGCAGACTATTTAGGAAAATTTAGGATATAAACTTTATTCGTGACTCTGTTTTCTTTCAATCTTGGGGGGCCATCTCTTATGCATACTAAAATTTTATGTTCATATTGAATCTGACTTTCCCTTGATGCTGCCAGCAAGGCTGCCGTATATATACACGAGTAGCTTTGCTTTCTCTACGGTTGAATTGTTTCTCGTGTAATAACGTTCTTAATTAATCATTGAGTTCAAGATTATCACCACCAGTTTAGTATAGAGAAGTAAACAAGAAATTAATCAGCCGATCCAAGTGAGATTAAAATCTTTACGGACCGATCAGCGGGGAATAACAGAAATGAAGAAATTGAGAGAAATTATTATCACTATTCAAATATGGAAAAAAAAATTACTATTTTTGGGGAGAATTATGCATTTCGTCTTTCGATTTTATTTAATTATTATTTACTTTGTGTTCATGACAAGTGTAGCATTTTTCCCTCATCATGGTTGGCGCACACAAATAGAAGGATTTTTTTTTTTTGGTCAAATAGATTTCAAATTATAACATTCATCTCTGAATCTTTTCCTACTGATTCGCGGTATTATTGTTTTTCATTTGGCGCTCGTTGCTCCTGCGTAGTTCAGAACTGATACAATGTGATTCAATCTTCGAATTCTTATCATTGATAGCTTCTAGGACGGGAATGGAACATATATGGCACCACCCACCAGAAGCCTTTTGATCTCCATAATCATCAAAGGTGAGTAATACAAGAGAAAAATCCGACCCTAGCTAACATATAATACTAATAGTGTCGAATGCCAGAGTATGCTATGCATGTTAGACATGGTGGCAAACAAATTAAAACCGCCGGTAGGTAGCTAGGGCTAGCTAAAGCTTGGGTGGGTGTGTACACCTTCGTAGGTTGTTATAACATACCTTGAATCATCCTTATCTCTCTCAACTCTCTTTTTCACCGGGCATCCCTCCACCGAACACCTATAGTAATTCCTGCAATCACATTCTATGAGCATGAGCATGTTCCTGGCGAAGCCATGCACATAATAAATACATAGTGAAAAAAGGAGTTGTGTCTGTGATATAGCTGCGCGCGCACGCGAGTGCATGTTTTTGTCCAGCAACGGAGCGCGCGCGCGCACACACACATAATGAAAACGAACCCTCTATATTGAAAACTCTAAGGCCTCATCATCATGCCACTGTAAAAAAAAAAAAAAAAGCATCGCAGGCATATATGTGTGTACCTCGGGTTGGGGCTGTTCTTCACCCTCTTCTTCCCATATTTTCTCCACTTGTACCCATCGTCCAGAATCTCTACCTCTGACTTCGTTTTGAATGCGACTCTGTCTTTGATGTTGATCTCGCCACTACTGCCAATGTCTCCTAAAGCGCATTACCAGATATTATAATAAGCGCGCTGAGAATTAAAAATAGAAAGCTGAAGAAAGTTTCGAGACTGGTTACTGGAGTACTGCGTGGATTGTACATATCACACAATGAGAACTTGAAACTCAAATAAATGCAGATATCATGTGAGGAATTTCGCTTACTACTGGATGACCCCTCGAAAGGGTTGGCAGTACTTCCCCCAAATCCACTTACTTCATTGGTTTGATAGACCTGCTGATTCGGGACTTGTTCAGGAGCCATTATTGATTGCTCGGGTTCCTCATCGTCTTCGAAGCTGAAGAATTCAGAGACCTCAGCAAAAGGATACTGGTTTGTGAAGTCGCTCTCCGGTGAATCTGGTGGTCTTGGAGGATTACTATCAGACATTTTGGTATGGCTGGGACGGAAACAAGGAGGTCAAGCAACTGCTCATATATTATAAACTCAACATATAAATATAGCCACACAGTAGTGAGAGAGGCGGCTTCATGGTGACCTTCCTATGAACCATAATAGGAGCTTCAACGATAATAGGAGGCTGAGATGACACGTGGACAACACACAAGTGATTTCTTGTAAAGATAAATTTGATGGGGTGGAAGCGGAGTGAGAGGTATGCCAAAGATGACTTGAAGAAGACTTTTTCAAGAGATGGGAATGGGATCTTGGGGTCTCGTGGTTGGACTAAACCCTTCCCGACGGAGAAGTAACATGTCGAAAAGTGATGGTATGGTGATTTTGAGCTCCTTATGGCTATATGCAACCTTCCTCGAACCTCTAGTCTCGAGTCTATGCATGACGTCCCCTGCTTTATATAATTCAGACATATATGCATGTGGAGAGATGTGTCTTTAGATTTCGACTGTTTTTTTTTTTTTTAGCTTATTTTATTTTAAATTCTGAATTTATTACAATGTGGGAGCATCACGAATCTAGCACAAGGATTTTGACTATAACTCCCAAAGATTAATGATATGTCCGAGAGAAGTCTGTTTCTTCCATTGTCTTACAAAAAGAATCCGCAATAAACCTGTTGCTGAAACATGTTTTTATAATAGACTCCTATATTTAATCTCGAAGCCTCCCGTTTTTCAGAGGATAATTTGATCTGAGGCCGTGCGCGCTTAATTTGGGAAGAAAAAGTTGTATATACCCTTCAAGGTAGAAGGATTTACTTGCTAAATAGCAGTAAAATATTTAAGAATGTATAGTACCCAGATTGAAGGAGTGAAGGTGATCAAAACCACCAGCGTGGGGTTGACCCTGGTTGGGTTGACTGGACTTGGCTACATATGTGGATAGTGCTGGTTAGGACAAGAAGAGCGAATAACAAACGAGATTATGGTCGACGAGAAGGTCTGTGAAGTCTGAAGCCACTTGCCAGGAAGCTCAAAGGAATGTTCCGGGGCCTTTCCTTTTCGGAGGAGGCACGATCAGCTGATAAATCTTGATAGCGTCCTCTGACCGTTGATTGCCATACCAACGCATTAATCCTCGTCAAATTCAAAAAGTAAGTGATGATTAGCATTCATTAATTCATTTAATCAACAAAATCAAGATCTACATAGAATGATCAACGTTATGTCAAATCAAATGTCCACAGTCCACTGTAACTTTAAAACCATTTAGCCCTTGTTTCTCGGAAGTAGCCTCAATCTACCGGATGCATTCCGCCCCATCACCATTACATTCATGACCACCACCATCATTTTTCATGCATTTGAATTTTCCTCATATTCAATTTTATCCATTCATTAAGTAATGACATTAAAATAAATATATTAATCATTATGATTCACCTCCTTGTGATTTTTGGTTCGTCAAATATTTTTATTAATATTATAAAAGGAATGTACGGTAGCGTCTTGGATAATTTTTTCTATTCATTGTTTATTTAATGATTATATCATCCATCTCTGTTGAAAAAAGGGGGAACTAATGCTTCAATCCTTATAATTTACACTCATTTTGAACTCCCCTGAACTTTATTTTCTTATAAATTAGTCCTGGCCTCTACTACTTCTCTTAAAAGTGCTAGTCCCTTAGGAGAATCATATATAATCTCAAATAAGGGGGAAAAATTACCGACGAGTCTCATCTAACAAACAGTTTTTTGGGAATGAAATGGAGAATTTCATTAATGAACTGA